AACGTTGATGACTATCCAAACTTATTGTAGGCCTATCTTGAAATGTTATATATTGTATTGTATATTTAAAGTTATGACGTGAATAAGAGGCTAAGGCCAGCTCCAGATTTACAACTAAATTATTTATTTAGTTCAATTCAAAGAGCAAGTGGTATAGTGTAATTACAAACTGAACGTGAAATGTAGAATAGTTAGACCGAATAAAAACTTAATACCGGTTGAAACAAATGAAATTCATAGTAGTAAATGTCCGATGTTCGTCGGAAAGTTTGGAGGTTTTCCGCTACAATTTCATTTGTTTCTATCTGTACAGGCTTTTAATTTGGCCAGGTTTTTTCGTATTTGTCTATAGATACGACATAATATTGTTTGTAAATTTATCTCTTTAAAATATGTATAGGCACAATCGTAGACAGTCCTTATTTAATGTTCAGTACATAATTCTTTAAGTGCAGGACAGCGATTGTAAACAGAGACGAGTGAGAGCAATACTGATTTGTCACGCTCCACTTTTGTTCGTTTCTGCCGTTGAATGCCCGTCTTTAATAATTCATCACTAGATGTAATAGATGTTACTACATCTAGTGTTATTAAGATTATTATATTAAGTTTCAATAAGAATTTTAATTTTTGATTTAATATGAAAACAGATGCAGCTGTACACAAGAACATTTACCAAAATATTGTGGTCCACGTCTATTATAATGTTTAACTTACAATCTTTTAAGCATTCAGAATACGAGATCACGGGTTTTCAACGTTGGATAAGAAGCTGTCCTGTTTGAGCTTGTATGAAAGTATCTAAGTAACAAGTCTTATTAATTTGGAAATATTGATAGATTATTGTGATTTGAAATATACATAGATTGATTGATAGGCAGATCATGTAGGCTAATTGACTAGGCATGCATATGCACGCAGGAAAAATCTACTTTCACATGAATATGATTTATTTTAAAACTGAATAACTAGTATAAGTAGGTCATAATAACTACTTATGCGATGGCCAGTATATTTCATTAATGTTTAAGCCATTTATGTCTTTTCTACCGTTATATTTATTATACGTACATATGAATATATTTATGATAATACATATTTCACGTATGTATATATAAATGCATGTAGAGTTTCCCACATTAGTATGGCTGCCTACACTCGGACATCACGATATCGAATTCAGATTCTTCTAGTTCAGTTATATCGAAAATAGTTGGAATGGTTTCATTCTAATATTGTGAGGTTTTCTCCACAGCGAAGTTACGAGAAACTTCTAGTTGTGTAAAATTTGCAAATAAAATATCATTTATTATCTGAACCATGAACTTTATGTGATGTGGTCTGATATTATGATTGTGTATTTATTTTCTAAACCGATTCCGAACTGATCTTTTATTTAGGAACTTAGACCGTAAATAGTATGGGCTACAAATCTCGTTATAAAAAAATATATTCCACTTCGTTACATGATCGAAATGTAGAAAAGGGAGATTTGGTGTCATCTTCTTCATTAAGATATTCCAGTGCAAAAGAGAGTAGTTTATATAAAGTAAACTAGGCTCTGAGCATGTTGTTTGTTACATAATAATACGCTATAATGTATTATTATAATAACAAACATGAAAATAATATCTATAATAATACGCTTATATAAAACGTAATAATACATACTTTTAAATACGGTTTACCCAAGCAAAGGAAATCTTAAGAACAGCTATCCTGTGACTTGAACTACTAATAGGTTTATTTACATGTTTACCTTTATCTTGTGTGACTTGTTCTTTTTTATTAATCATTTTTCCTTGACTATGCTGATAAATATTTAATTATTATTGTTTAATTGTTTGGAGTTGGAGTACAACCAAGAAACTGAGGACTATGAAAATTATGCTCCAAATATATCTTATGCCAAACAGAATAAATAAATATTTCGTACACGTATTAATTAATAAAAATAATCAACTCATACAGCGCCATCTTTTCCAATACTAAGCAAAGCTTGTTTTACATTAGTATCTATAACAACTGATAGAAACATTTTTTTAATTACATACCTATAATATACATGTGAAACATAAACCAATACGTCATACGCATGGAAAAAATGTTTGTGTGGTGTGAAAATCTAACCTGCAAAACTTGGAAATAAGGCGATGTACTAAACCGCAATAGCAGTAAGGCCGTCATTACTTAATAAATTTTATAAAGAATCTCGCCCTGACTACTTTATCTCAGACTAAAGGTATAAATATGGATTCATTTTATTACGAAAGTAGCAACTAAGAAGGGATTTTTAAAAATCCTGATGGGAACGGGGGATAACGGGGTTGGTGCGGACAAAGCTGCGCTTATTGCTTTTCAGCCAGTATCATTTCAAATATCCATTGTCCATTTGCAGACGATACGTACTTGCATTTCCTTGAAATAGTTTAAAAGTTGGCGTCTATATTCAGAGATATAATTATTCACATTCTAGCTATTAAAAATATATCTTTTCAGTTTCATAGTTTTTTAGTACACGATTGAGAGCTTTGTGACATAATGATTTTTGAAATGGACACACCTCCAAGAATGATTTATGAATATAAAATTCTTCATTGAAATAAACTTACATTGGTATACTTTTATTTTTTTTTAATCAACCGCTTATTCGGTAAGCGGTCTCATCACAAGAAGAACGAGCAAGAACGTTACGTGTTGCATCAAAATCTGGTCCAAACCTAGAAAACATTGTGTATCAATTTATGTTTCTGACCAATAGAGAGTAAAATAAACGACACATCGATATGAAACAAAAAAATACCCTTAGAGACGGCAATAGACTTACACCCTGCTACGATGGAGTCAAATATACCCTCAGAAATGTCAAGTGTATCATTCACTACGATATCTTCGATTGTCAATACTTCTCACTGTCCCTCTGTTATAGCAGTTGGAACAAATTGTCGTATTGCTATTAATAATCTGACTTATAATTATCATCAAATAAACCAGTTTGCTATATAAATTTTGTTCAATTAATTATCATTGACTACAGTATTAGCAACCGGCAATTACCGTGATGAAAGGTAACACCTACGTTGAGTAATAGATGCTCGCGTAGATGATATTACAGGTTAACTAGTGCTTTATCGGTTTCCTTAAACTGATTACCAACTACCGAGCACTAAACTATTTATACGAAATAAACGACATACTTGTGTTCTATTAAAAATATGTTATATTCACAAGTATTTACTTTACTAAACGCAGCAATACTTACTTACAGAATATTAATATCCACATAGCTACTTTGAAAATATCTGTAAGCCTTTAAAATGATGGATTACTAAGAACTCAATATGTAAGCTTCTCTATATAAATGTTCACCATTGCATATTCATATAAAATGTTGAAACTTAATCCAAAAGAGGATTATGCACTATTCGCATGCATCACAGAACTCGAAGCAAATAAATATACCCTAAAAAAATAAAATCATATGTTGCTTTCAACATTTCCCAATACTTACGATCATAATCTAAACTGCAATATTTACTTGGATACTTCAAAAGCAATATATGAAATATTGCTTTTGAAGTTTCCAAATAAATACATATTTTCCAAAAAAATCCAACTTTTCAGTTTGAAAAGAATATATAGTTTTAAGAGAATATTCATGTTAATATTTAATTAATATTAACAGATATTGCTGGCATTACGAGACATGTAACATAGATGTGCTGCGTACTCTTTATAATCACAATTTATTGTCTCTTTACTATATTTGCTGGTTTATAATTACGTTGTTAGGTTTATTAATAATAGTATAGAATTTGCTTATTGCGTTGCAAAATTTCATTCGCATATACCTTATAGGTATACAACTTTATTAGTAATATATGTAGTAAGTACAACACAGTTACGTAAATAATATAAACATGTAACTGTGTTCTGCTTATTGTAATTTGTTTTTCCAAGATATTGACATCTTATTCCCAAGTTAGCTGAATTTGGATTATGGGTATTAAGAAAAGAGTATATAGATAAGAGTATAAGTATAAAAGAAGGGATAGTTTTTATATTATTAGCTATTAAATATACTGAGCCGCAACAACACAGGGCCGTGTTTATTATATATTATGTAATTAGGAAAACATGAGTTACTCCAGGATTTTTTATTTCTCATTTCAGTCGGTTAATCCAATTAGGTGTAAAATTAAATCTTTATTATATTATTGTATATTTTTTAAACCATGATAATACAATTAGTCAAGTCTCAAGGTTTTTTTCTTCATCCTCTTTTTCTCCTATTTCCAATAAGCCTTAATTTTTTTTATGAATACTATCAATTAACCTTCCTAAATGTTTATAATGATATATTTTTCTTTAATCTACAAAGCTCGGGTTTATTATTATTCACTGAAATAGATATAGGATAATTCGTAGGCTAACTTTCAACTGAAACTGAAACAAAATTTAAAATACCTATTCACATATTTGATAATGTATCTTATAAAGATAAATAATTACACGTATATCTAAATAAACCAAATTAGTATTCATATCAATGATATTACGCCGTCAACAATAACAGTAGAAGGCAAATATTATTGACTAATATCGTCTATTCAATTCTATTTCAGTATTTTCCCGATTCGATTCTGTCTAAAATTACCCCGCTCTTCCAAAAATAACTTGTACTAATACGAGTATATACGTACATATTTATCTTTTATTATATGTGTGTTGTTTATTTTATTTTACTTAGTTGTGTATTTAAAAACATATTCTGTGTTAATGTAATCGTAAGTTCTCCAACCAATTTTACAGAAAACCTTAGCACATAGATAAACTTACTAACAGACATCGCTACGTCATGATTTTACGATACATAAAACTCAAATATTTTTTGTAAGGCTCTATAATTAATACAGAATCTGTCTTCAGGTGAATCAGCTGGCGAGCCGGAAAAAGCGAAGACTCGACCTCCTCCGCTACGAAGGAGGATCGGCTCCGGAATGTCTAGTTTAATATCGAAGATCAAGAGTGGGGCGACGAACAACCAGCCGCCACCACTCGAAAGCAATCCCATCATGCAGTATTTCGAAGTGGGAAAGGAGAGCAGTTCGGCTGGTCATGGACTGCTTTGGAAAGTTCACGATGCATATCGAAAGAGCGATGGCAAGGTAAGTAATTTTAACTAATATAGGTAATAAATGTGAAAGTGAGTTTTTTTGTTCCTATGCTTTCATCTCTTAATCAATTATCATAAAATACTGCATATCATATTTAAGAGCATATAAGGAAATACACTACTTTTTATCTCAGTTAATCATGGTCACAAGTACCTGGTCGAAAGTAGTAGGTAGTTAGTATATTGATAGATATGTCATATCATACAATAATATTAAATGGAAATTACACTTCCAGGAATATTGTATAATGTAGGTACTAATTGGAATATGCACGACGCGTTAGATCAATTAAAGTGCAATTAATTAAATATATATAAATGTCCGAATACGATAATGGTATTAAATTTTAATGAAATGTTGTCCCTACACACCTACAGTACGGGTATATCCGTTAAACCTTTCACAGACTAGTAAAAAAGTTTTATGAGCAGTTTATTAAGATACGAGGTTTAGAAGCAGAATAAGTGTAATTCGCAGATACAAATGAAACAATAGGTACGTAGATACGTAATCTGGTTTGATAGACATTGATACGAATTATTATCTACTTAATAAATTGCAAGATTTAATATCAGAAACGGATTTGTTACTTTATATTGTTTCATTACACATACAAGAGTAATTTATTTATATTTCATGTGATATTTCAATTGGTAATATTCCACGGTTTCGTTCTAGTTTCCCAGTAGGTAGTACTACCTACGAAGTATTATCGTTATAGTCCAGATCTCTTAAATTTTACTAATTAGTGTGCCCTATTAACTTTAATAAACGTTATCCAAAATTATTCACTAAAATCAGATAGGTACGTAATTGCCACATTGAAAACATGTTTTAAAACTCTGAAGTATTATATAGACCGCTATAGTATCTTTTTATAAATGTAGATACTAATAAATAAATATATCGTCTACAAAAAATAAAACTACAAGAATTTACATCGGTCAATTGAAATTGTTAAAGTTTCTCCATTATACTGGATTCTCTGGCGATGCGAACTAATGAGAAACTTGGTCAAGATTAGAGCTTAGGTCATGTCAAAAGTTTTTATATACACAACATGGCATTGTTGATGAGTCTTTTATGACTGAAATTTGGATGAGATGTGTCTGTTGTTACATATATAGAGCCATTTAGATTATATGTACTTGGACTCATTTTACTTACGTTACATTATACGATCTGAGAAGAACAAAAATGATTCAATTCGTTTCACTTGCTTCAGACATCGTATGTAGCTGTTTACTAGAGAAATAACGTTTATACTCGCAGTGAACCAATTTACCTAGGAAGTCGCCTACGCTAGACTAGCAGGCAAGGTAATAGGAGAAGATACCCATATTCAGCAGTGAAACTTTAATGGGATGTAAAGGAAAATGTAGACTATGGTAAAGCGGAAACGTGTACAGAACAAGTTTTAATGTACCTACCTTTTTCGCTATAAACATCTCTGTTCAGTTTCAGCCGTTTCATAAATATAAAAGAAACTTTATCGGTAGATTTACCACACAATTTGGCCAACAAAACTTTTGTTGTTCTCCATAGTCCTTCGAAAGTCGTATTTTCTTTCATTTAAATATTCGCTATAAATTAATATAATAAAAATGTAAGTAAATTAAATAATACTTTCCAAAGTAAGATCCAATAATATTCCACAAAATGACGCGGAGGTGGTCACTTATAAAATATCAAAGCTATGTTGAAATTTTATTATCTAGACAGGTTTCCATACTCTATTTAGTTATCTTTTACTACTAATAGCCACATTATTATATTAGTTCTTACAAATAAATTATAGTAAGTAATATACCATCACAAAATTAATCTCGCAAATATAATGTAATTAATTGAATTAAATTATTATTTAATATACTTCGAAATGATCTAAGCAACCTGTTAATAAATTTATATTTAAGTAATATTATATACTGTTCACTGCTTATAATTATCATATTATTGTTCACTATAACCCAAAAGTTACACATAATATATAAATTAGTTTAAAATAGTGAACAAAGATAATTTGTCAAAAGTCCTATTAGTCAATATTCTCTAAATACACACAATACAATAATTTTATTAAATAAAATAAAACAAGAACTGAAATAAGAAAATTATATCGCTCCACAAACAATAATAATATTTAAAAATTGTGCCCTCAATTAATAAGGGAAATTCACTGGAAGAATTTTATTTCTACTTTTGTACCATTCATAGAAAATACAGCGGAAATAGGAATCTCTTCATTCTGGTTTACCGATACAATAACAAAGGAAGATTCAATTAAATTAATATTACTATTGTACAAAGTGTATAGATGATTCCTTTACCAGTGCTGTTTCCTCCTTCAATTTTCTTATTTAATACTACGTATTTTTATATGTTGTCTTTTCAGGTATAACAATATTTATGTGTTAAGCGTCATGTTTATATCACGTCTTATACGTACCATTAATGTCAAGAATTTGTACTAGCAATAATGTATATCATTGCATTAATGCACAGCTCAACTGACTTTGAGTGATGCAAGCTTACCGCAGGATCGCTCCCTGTACAACCCACAATGGCTTCGCACTAATTGGGGGTGAACGTTATTATAGGACGCTTACCGCAATCCACGTTCAAAGTTGTGGTAAAATCGTACTAATACGAATACGGTTTATTCTTACTGAACAAAATAATTCTTACGTCTTTTCATCATTTCACTATTAACATATTTATTTAATGTATTGAACGTAATTTTATTAAATATTAGGCACGATTACAGTTAGTTTTCATAAGGAGTACAATTTAAAATGCAGTTTTTTTATGTATTTGATGATACGTGATCCAATTTAGTTCTATGAACTTCAACCAAGTCAGCAGCTTCCGAGCGTCAGTATCGACATCTTGTGTAGGATAATTAATTATTAAACTGTATATATGTACCAGGTAAATCCGTTTTTTTTTTCAAGTTTTACTGACATTTAACTAGCGTTCTAAATGCGTGATATGTGATATATTCATATAAACAGTACGAAAGCTTTTTTTTATACTCTGATTGCTTTGGTAGGTTACGTCCCTGAAACTGCGCGAGTGCATGTGTATATGAATAGAACTTCGGGCTTTTACTATAATACATCGCACATGTGTAAACAAAAGGTTATGTATACAAATGTATTAGGTTCGCCGATGGAAATATAACATTCATTTTTTATATTTATTCAATGAAAAATAAAAACCTTCGATACACTCCATCAAACGGTTTTCATCAAAATATGAAAACTAGTCATGCGGTACAAAATAAACATAGTTCGATTGGCCTCCGTGAGTTTATTTAGTAAATGAAATGCAGAATTATTGTTATATGCGGAATATTTTTGTTAAGGTTATTAAGGAAACATATGATTTTTTTCTTAATAACCTTAAGATTTTTTTAAGACCATTTTTAAGATACGAACTTCTAGCATTTAATGGATTTACCGTACGGGTGCCGAGTAGATCTATCATGTGGTAGAAAGGAAAACTCCGAGCAGTTCCCGGAACTTAAGACCCGGGTGTAGGTTTAAGTGGCAAGAGTGTTGCCTGCCTTTTTAGAAATAATGAGTTCTTTTCTTGAAGGTTTCAATGTCGTATCGGTTCAGAATACTACTGCTGGAAGGTGATTCCACAAGGTGATTGTGCGTGACGAAATGTTTCTAGAAAACCGCACAGTGGGGGATCGCCATTCATCCAGATGATCAGGATGTTATTTTAGTTTCTGTCGGGTGGTACTGTGGTGAAATTCAACAGCATCCGAATAATTCCTCAGTACAATCACTGTGACATCTGGAGAAAAAATGCATGGAGTTGCTATATCACGCTGGAAAGTCAATGGCTCTTGTCTGTCAATACTCACCACTTGTGTTTCTCTCCCTGTAGGGCCAATTATGATAGGAACCTGTTACTGCAGCCTTAGTACAGAACTTACTGCAATTCGAGATAGGCCAAGATCTTTTAGAAGAGAAATTTTGCAGGTATACCACTCGCTCCTACGTCTACCGCATAGAAGTTAACCACTTAGGTATATTTGTTATTTCGTTTATTAATTCGTAATGGTTTTAATTTTAGGTATATTTGTTTCCCATGGTACAGACAGCTCCACTAGTATTACATGAGATAGAATTTTTAAAATTAGTATTATATATTTCACATTTTATAATCACTATGTAATATCTGCTCTAATTAAAATTAATCTCTTGAAACTGACGTCTTTGATTGGAAAATAGAGAAAATTGAGAGTACAGTCTCTCAATTTTCTCTATTTTCCAATCAAAGACGTCAGTTTCAAGAGATTAATTTTAATTAGAGCAGTAAGTTTGTAAATAATCTGACGTTTAAAATATCGGATAATGTTAAAACATGTAATCGTTTTAAATTGGTTAAATTCAAATTAAATGTATGTAATTATATGAAACTTACAATTGTAACTTAGATTTACATTTCTGTTTAGTTCATAAAAGTATCTACCTAAACAAAGTAGTACATTCAATTTTTACGCACGTGTACGCAAGTAAAAAGTACTGAACCGTATAGGCGTGTAATCTCTGCTACGCGCACATCTAAACAGATCCTCTTTTTTTATAGTAACACAATAGCTACGAATCTATCCATCCATCCATATTATCCATTTTCACATGATATTCATTTACACGCTAGACAAAGAATGTAGTACGTTAAACTTATGTAAATTTTGTTGAACTACCCAATAGATATATTACTGTTATTAAATTCGAAGAGAAAAAAAGATATGACGCATTCTGATACATGAGGTACAGCCATATATGGTAAATAATATCACTTGTTGGACCGTATATAACAAGCCACGAAATTAAAACTTCAGCCACATTAAAATATAAAAATGGTACAAGTTTGAAAAGGTTAAGTTACATAAATTTTATTATCTATTATATAATAAATATATAAAACTGTCGCCCCTAAGAGTTCAATAAATATGTATGTAACATAGTATT